CCAGCGGTATGTCTAATGACTGGCAGCATCTGACGATTGTTCCGCTCGATGATGGTGTAGCAGAAGACCAGCTGGTATTTACTGGAAAACACCAAAACACAACACAGACCAAGCCATTACAAAGCTAGAACGACTTACTCCACATGCAGGTATGTGTGTAACAACTAGACCGAATCACAGATATTGTAAGGACAAAGTAAAAAAAAAATTTTTTTTAACTTGTTGTATGCCATCGAATCGGATCCGACTGGCACAGGAGAATGTCCCTTCTTCACAGGAGAATGTCCCTTCTTCTCCAGCAGAGCACCTGGTGGATTTGAACCACACACTTTTGGTATTGTAGCACGCCTTCTTGCCACTAGGCCACCAGAGCTCCCCAGGACAAAGTAATAGGATACAGTTCTCAGTGTCTACTAATTAACGAGGAGCAAGGGAATGCAGCTGTCACTCAGAAGCGCTGGGATATGGTTCATATTAACCACTAAAAACCAAAATATATGCAAGGTGCAGCTTGAGTTTATACAACTAGATAGGCGCCTCTCATTGTCTGAAAAAAGAGTAAGTGAGTTGGTGAAAAGATTTATGAATTAGTAAGAGAGAACAATGGTGGTTGACAGAGATATTTGCTGATCCGAGTCATGGCATTTTCAGATACTCCCTCTGCACCTGAAAGCTGAATAAGGAAGACTAAGAACTGATGCCTTTGAGTTGTGGTGTTGAGGTGAGTACTGAGAATCCATGGACTGTGCCAAGAGAACAAACAAGTCTATCTTGGAGGAAGTGCAACCAAGTGGCTCTTTAACCAGCAAGTATGGTGAACTCTGTCTCACACTTGGGGCAAGTTGTCAAGAGGGGCCAGTCTCTGGATAAAAACATCAAACTGGGGAAAGACGGCAGGTGGCAGAAAGAAAGGCAGGCCTTCAACAAGAAGGACTAATGCCATGACTATAGCAATGGGCTCCAGCATATCAGAGACTGTGAGGATGGCGCCGGGCAGGGCAGGGTTCAGCTCTACTGTTCACAGGGCCACTATGAGTGCTAGCAGTCAACCTGTTGGCACTAATCAACAACAGGATGGTGTGGCTCAGGCTTGTGGTGTATGTATGGTCTTTGAGAAAAAACTAGTAGCAGTTACAGCACCACTGCAGTAGAAAATCCAGTTTTAATGTTGTCTCCAATAACTATGAAGTTGTTTGTTGTGTGTGTTGTTTTTTTTTTAACTGTTACGTTGCTACTCATTTCACAGAAACCTTGTACAATATCAACACAAATACACAACTAAATAACATACCTTGTCACAGCAGCAAAGTAGTTAACTACCGACGGCAGGCAAATCTTCAGAGGATTTAGCCGGCTCATGACTATGCGTTCAAGATTTAGATTCTGCAGGAACTGCAAACCTTTGATTAAAAAAGAAAATAATTCTTAGAGGCATGATAAGCCTAACTTCAACGGAGCCCACGTGGCACAGCAGCTGTGGGCTTAGCAGCTCACACACCCACTGGGATTGTGGGCGGAAGACGTGACCATCTTCCCTGGTCAAGACCACCATGTGGACGGCCCCACGGAGGAGTTCTGTACCATCACGTGGGGCTGCTGTGGTAGAAGTCTACTTGGCAGCACGTAACAAGAAAAATCCTCACAGGTTATTTCACACATTCAAACAAAGTTATGTTGGGGAAATGCTTTCAATGGATGTACATTTAGTCACACACACATATATAGCTGAAAAGAATGCTACTTAGTTAACTATATATCTTTTAATAACTGTTAAGTCTGGTTTTGTGATTTTTCAATTTTATTATTTTGTGTGTGTGTGTGT